CAGATTTCTACTCTAAAATGGGTGCCGAGAAGGAAACTGTGGAAAAGGATTTCTACAAAATACGAGAAAGCACCATCTACAAGAAAAACGAGAAAAGAAAAAAACAACTCAATTTTATTCGTGCATCTAACCACTTCAAGAAAAGAGGAAGAAGTGTGAATTTTTGAAACTATAACCCAAAATCAAACCTGTATCATTGCTCCTCTAGCTTGCCTGCCTATACTCCAACTCAATTACATACAAAACCAAATTACACAAAAAATTAATCACAGTTGTAATGAGTTATAATGATAAATTTAGAATTTGTCACAAATTTTCATCATTAAAAACACTCTCTTGTAGTGTAAATCAATACCTTTATAAAAGGGAAAGCATTATTGAAACAAAAAATTACAGAAAAATTCTTCACCTAGTAAACGTGAGCTAATGGAGGCGTACATTGGACAAATCTAAGGTAGGTTTTGTCAATAGGATTACAATTGAAGGAAAAATTAGGAGTGGATCAAAAACAAAGCTTCAAAATCAAATATTAAAATAAATTTCAGTCAATTACATACGTTAATGACATTCACTTTGACGCCAGGGCGTTGAATGGTGGATCACGGTGATCGAAGAATGCAGGAATTGGTATTTCCATTGGCAGACAGGGGGGGTTGGTCAAAGTCCCATTACGATAATGAGGGAGGAAAATTTCTGTTGGGCCAATAAAAATTACAGATAGATACTATTTTAATATTTATATTATGTATATATATTATATATTATTATTTTATTATAATAAATAATAATAATAATAATTAAAAAAAAAACATTACTTAAATATCTAAAAAATGCCCAATCCATTATCTTAAGACCGAATATAAAAATGGACCATGAGTCATGTCTTTTTAAATTTTCCTTTACAAATGCCTAGAAAATACCCAATAATATACAATTCAACTGTAACGTTTTTGCAGAAAAGAAAAATTGAGAGAAAAAAACAGAGAGAAAAATGAGTAGAACTTAGAACATGACATAGAACATAAAAGCCATAAACATGGAAGGGTGCGTACAGTCACCCAACCGGAGAGGAGGAACCATGCTCTTTTTCTCTCAATTTCTTCCTTCTTTTTTATAGAGGAAGGTTACACATAAAATAATAATATTTTTTACTAATACAATAATTATTAATTACTTTAAACATTGACTAAAATGATGAAATTTGCTGCCATTTCTTGTAAAGCATGTGAAGCTCCATTGTGCTGTCACTTTGCTGTTACTGTGCAGTCATGTTGCAGCTCTCACGTCTTTTCATTTGCTGCTACTTTGGCAGCTTAAACACCACAACTCCAACATCAACATCCTTAAGGCCCAATAAAAAATGGATCATAGGCCATCTAAAACATTTTTCACAGAAATCAATCAAGAAATATAATAGTATATTCTCAAAAGAATTCAAAAATAAAAGTTGCAATATTTTTTTAAATTGTGTTAACCATGTTTTACAAAACACTTAATTCTAACTCAAGTTACAAAATGATAGCTTGATCTCAAATTAATAAAGTAAAAAAATGGTAATCATCATTGCAACCATCTCTTAGAATTCAAGGTCTAAGATCATAAAGAATTGAAGTATTCTTTTGTCGTACTAGTGAACACTATTATCACGTTAATATAATAACAATGATTTGTAGATCCATCAATAACAACCCTTCCAATATATTCCCTCCTTCCCTTTCACAAATTTAGCAATTAGATTAATAAGAGCTAGGGTCAATTAATCTGTTGCATTATGGAGATGCTAAAAAAATTTAAAATTTTAAAATTTAAACTCTTTTTTTTTTTTTT